TAATTAAAAAAATGCCTGCAACTAGTGATGATGTGAGTGAATTTAAGGCCAGCAAAGGTTGGTTTGAGAGATTTAAGAAGCGTAGTGGCATCCATAGTGTGATAAGGCATGGTGAGGCTGCCAGTTCGGACCACAAAGCGGCTGAAAAATATGTGCAGGAATTCAAGGAGTACATAGAAACTGAAGGACTGAAACCTGAACAAGTGTTTAATTGTGATGAAACAGGCCTGTTCTGGAAGAAAATGCCAAGCAGGACCTACATTACTCAGGAGGAAAAGGCACCCCCAGGACATAAGCCTATGAAAGACAGGCTTACTCTTCTCATGTGTGCCAATGCTACTGGTGATTGCAAAGTGAAGCCTTTATTAGTGTATCACTCTGAAACTCCCAGAGCGTTCAGGCAAAAGAATGTCCTCAAGGATAATTTGTGTGTGCTGTGGAGGGCAAACAGTAAGGCATGGGTCACTAGGGAATTTTTCTATAACTGGTTACACCATGCATTTGCCCCCAATGTGAAAGATTACCTAACTGAAAAGAAATTAGGACTTAAGTGCCTCCTGGTGTTAGACAATGCCCCTGGTCATCCTACAGACGTGGCCAGAGCGACTTTATGGGGACATGAGCTTCATTAAGGTGAAGTTTTTGCCTCCTAATACCACTCCTCTCCTGCAGCCCATGGACCAGCAGGTTATTTCCAACTTCAAGAAACTGTACACAAAAGCTCTGTTTGAAAGGTGCTTTGTAATGACCTCAGAAACTCAACTGACTCTAAGAGAGTTTTGGAGAGATCACTTTAATATCCTCAATTTGTGTAAACCTTATAGGTAAGGCTTGGGAGGAAGTGACTAAGAGGACCTTGAACTCTGCTTGGAAGAAACTGTGGCCAGAATGTGTAGACAAAAGGGATTTTGAAGGGTTTGAGGCTAACCCTGAGAATCCTGTGCCAGTTGAGGAATCCATTGTGGCATTGGGAAAGTCCTTGGGGTTGGAGGTTAGTGGGGAGGATGTGGAAGAGTTGGTGGAGGAGGACAATGAAGAACTAACCACTGATGAGCTGATAGATCAACTTCAAGAGCAAGAGGCCAGACCTGGGGAAACTGGTTCAGAGGAGGGGAGAGAGAAATTGAAGAAGTTGCCTACTACAAAGATAAAGGAAATCTGTGCAAAGTGGCTTGAAGTGCAAACCTTCATGGATGAAAATCACCCTCACACAGCTATTGCAAGCCGTGTTGGCAACCTGTACACTGACAATGTTGTGAAACACTTTAGGGAAGTGATAAAGGAACGAGAGGTACAGGCCACTATGGACAGATATCTTGTGCGAAAGAAGTCCAGTGACTCTGAAGCTGGCCCTAGTGGCATTAAAAGAAGAAGGGAAGTAACCCCAGAAAAGGACTTACTACCTCAAGTCCTAATGGAAGGGGATTCCCCTTCTAAACAGTAAGAAGATAATGCTCCCCCTCCTCCCATCCCATCAATCATCACCAGATCTTCAATAAAAGTAAGTGTCATGTAAGTGTGCATGCCTTTTTCAGTTTGTGTGTATTAAAATTAATATTTCATGTGGTAAAAAAAAATTTTTTTTCATACTTTTGGGTGTCTTGCACGGATTAATTTTATTTCCATTATTTCTTATGGGGAAAATTCATTCACATAACGATTATTTCGCATAACAATTACCCCTCTTGCACGGATTAAAATCGTTAACCGGGGGTCCACTGTATATGTACAGTCCACAGCCAAATCTAAAACAGCCAGTATTACTGGCTTGAAATTCTGTTATTAATTAACATTCAAGCACTATATCTTCACATAATTTAAGGTCCAGATGTGAGAGTTTGGGGAGCTGAGAAGGTGGGCTTTGAAGGAGTAATGTGATGACCCATTATTCCTAAAGTCCTAGATGTCTCCGAGGTACAACTATATCAGTAAGTGTGATCTGTTTTAGATGTGCCAGAGTTCTCCCCAGTTGTGTGTATGAAATATTAATTCAGGATTATACCTGTAATACTTATACATATTATTTCTCACATATACTATGCTAATATTGATCCTGAACTACATCTCCACTCTGATGCCCGAAATGCCTAGCCATGCTAAGCATTCTAGTGGTACACTCTGTAATCACAATTTTACTACATGTAAACCAAACAATAATCAAATTTCTGTAAACTCAGCATTGTAATCCTTATAGAGAATAAACTTTGAATTTGAATCACTTCAATCCAGGCCAACAAAAAATCAATTCTGCAACACCTGCAACCTTTTATTATTTAATTGCAATAAAAGATCTCCACGAGGAAATGAAGAGTCCTTCCATCGTAAGCCATACGTGTTGTAAGAGGTGACTAAAATGTCGGAAGCAAGGAGCTAGTAACCCCTTCTTCCGTAAAAGTTACTAAATGTAAGAAGAAAAGCTTTATGAGGTTTTCTCTTCTGAAGTCACCCTGTCTTGGTGGGAGACAATTGGTAAGATGAGGGAGGGAGGGGGGGGTGGAAAATCCCTAATACTACATGGTAACAGACATTTATAATTCTACAGGTATCTATAATTTACCTGGTTTCAAAGATGTTCAAAGGGTGCCAGGCCAGTTGGGTTGTTGGTGTCTAAAATCAGGTGTGCACCAAGTTGCTGCACTTCAAGTTGAGCCATGAGCCACTAGGAAATTACCTTCATCTCTTCTTTAATGTATGTATGTGGTTCAGTGTTTTGTATCCAAATATTATGCTGTAGGTCTTTTATATGTTGAGTGATAGCATTTTAATTATCTTACAAATTAAAATAAAATTAATTCATCATTTACTGTTATCTTGGACACTCAGGTCTGGGTTTTAGGTGAAAAAGGTGGTAAAGTATCTATATGCAAAGAGCACTGGTATGAATTACTTGGAGGTATTTAGCAGATTATCAATAAACAGTAGAAGGAATGGTCAAGGGCCCAAGATGTTGTGGTGTGGTACAAAAAAGTTTATGGAATAAGGAATATTATCCACAGTGTTCTGGTCCAAGAGGAATGCTACAACTAACAGACTTGAATGTTTTTTGCAGGCCAATAAAGTCCTTGAGGCTATGCCTTATTATGCAATACATGTGGAAGAATATATTAATGCTTTCATTACAGTACGGTATTGCTTGTGCAATGTTTTGGGTCATAAACAAACTGATAAGAGGTTAATACAGTGCATTGTGTTATGTTTCATTCAGAAGTAGTTTACTATTTTCTCAAATATTCTGATAGCATTGGAAGGTTTAAAATGTTGGTCTAAAGTGGTTTGTACCAATGGGATACAAACAATTCTAGGTTGGTGTAACTGTTTCAGGTTCTATTTATATTTATGCCTGGTTTCTGTAGACATTATACATACTGAACCATATTTGGTCTAATGAGAAAACAAACGTTTCAATTATTTTAGTGCATTTGGTAACAGAGGTTATTAGAATGTATGGACGTAAGTTACATGTATTTAAAACTTTTTAACTTAAGAGCTATCTGGTTGACTGAAGTTAACATTAAAATTTACACTAACATTCAATACTCATGTAATACGCCAAATCTTTCAAGCAAAAGACAAGCTCATAATGCAACTCAAAAGCATCAGCACAAAAATTCAAAACCAAATAGAAATAAAGACATTTTAGGTATCCTAGGGAAAGTGACCACTTCTCAATTTTGTAAAATTAAAATTCAAAATTTATTTTCCCATGATACATTATACAGAAATGGATGACACTTAACAATGCATGCAGAAAGCTCGTGGATATGAAGAGAATTTTGGGCAGCATAAGCCTAACTTAAAACTACAAGGGCAATAAACTACATATATGTATTTAAGGGCATTAAATGTATACAAGTATGACTGAGTCAATGTGTATGTAATGAATGTTTATGCAAGTAGATTAAATATATCATTGTACATAATAACAATTATTTATGGCTTATTTTTGAAGGTTTGCTTTTGCTTACTGTATAAGAAATACTGTAATTATACTACATTAATTCCACTCTCTCTCTCTCTCTCTCTCTCTCTCTCTCTCTCTCTCTCTCTTTTCCTCATCTGGTAACCTCACTAAATCCCTAACAAAATGTAAATATAAATCTAATTATGTAGTATCTAGTTTCATAAATCATTGACAAGTAATACAAATTATCATTGTTAGTAGGCCTTCCAAACATTTAGTCAATATTTTTGTAGGCATCAGTAGAACTGAGAAAAGAATTCCTGATAGGAATTGTTAGAGAAATTCTAGGTTAAGTCAATGTCTACTGAATATGTGATTGAAATAGGAATACAAACAACTTATAATGTAATGCAACATGCCTTTGTAAATAATCAATTTCTGACCTAAATAAATAATTAATTTCTTAACTAAATTAATATTTTAAAAATCAAAGATTAGTGGTCTAAACCTTTTTAGATTTAGATTTTGCCACCGAAGTGGCTAGTTAACCTATGACAATGAAGGAGTTATGAAAGAAGTGACTCCCTACTAGGATTCATTTAGGCTTGCAACAGAGTTCAAAATTAATTTTAGGATATAAACTGTCATTGACAGCCTTAAATATCGGTGATAACATGACTAGAGTCACGTCTTACAGTTGGGGGGAAAGAGGATACGTGACTCAGGAGGGGTTGAGGGAGGGGCATGAGACGTGGCACTACTGGTAAGTTCATCTGGCACTGCCCATGCCAGGCAGAGTCGGCCTGCCTGCCCACCCACACAATCATTATTAATGACACTAAGACGCACTGCCATTACCTAACCTTACAAGAAATACAAATATTAACACTGGTTTCATAAAACTTGCCAGCTTACAGCTACAATAAAACAATAAAAACACATTAAAAATGAATGTATATGACCAAGTGGCATCTTGAGAGGAGAGAAGAAGCAGCCAGACGCTGGACGGGTAAACAACACTCCCTTAACATCATCATTATCCATCCTTATTTAGATTAACATCGTAATATAACTCACTCACAGGCAACACACAACTTACCTCTCTCTTCTGAACAAAACGTCGAGTGAAACAACCAACAAAAAATGGAGAAAAGGGTTAAAGAGCGGATGAGAGACATAACGTCAGTGATGGTTGGCGGAGCAGGAGACGTGCGACCACCCTCAACACTGGCACTAGCAACACTAAACCCGCCCACACCACCACCCACTCAACAACACTACACAAAATTGTTGTACAATCAAACTTAATTTATTTATTTATTTATTTATTTATTAACAATTTGGGCACACATACAGAGGTACAAAAAAATACAGATAAGAGCAGCATGCCAAAGCCACTTATACTATGCATAGCATTACGGGCTGGCTTAAAATGTTTTCCACGGCCTTATAATTAATATGATACAATATTTGATTAATTTCTGAGGCATGTTGACTGTGCTTAATGAGGCCGCAATTCACCTAGACACTTAACCTTAAATATTACTCGAAACCCTAAACCCTGAGTACAGAAAGGCATGTAGAGAGTCTGAGAAATTAATATTTTTTTTTTTTTTTAGGTTTAAGGCCTACCGAATTCAGGTGGATCATTAAGACCACATTACACCTGTGCGAAAATAAACAGGTATTTAAATACGTATTAAACATCGGTACTTAGCTCAGTGGTGACGTGTACTTAGCTCAGTGGTGACGTGTACTTAGCTCAGTGGTGACGTGTACTTAGCTCAGTGGTGACGTGTACTTAGCTCAGTGGTGACGTGTACTTAGCTGGAGTGGTGACGTGTACTTAGCTCTGTGAAGACCTGTTTGTGTGCTCTCTGTGAATCTGTACCAGGATGCCCTCTCTTGAGCAACTTTACCAGCAGCTGAGAGAAGAGCTCAGAGTTGCTAAGATGGAGATACGGCAATTAACGGAGGAGAACAAGAGGATTCGTAGTAATCCTTCTGTTGTGAGTCCCCAGGTTAAGAGGGGAGCTTGGTCAGTGGCTGGGCAACATGGAACCAAGCTGAAGATCAAGAAAACGGTTGGAGAGGCAGAAACAACGAGAAACCAGAAGACTACCGTGGAAACTTCCAACTCATTCTCGGTGCTACCTGACGAATGTGAGTATTCTACTGGGAATGCCACAACGAGCACCAAAGAAGCATTGGCAGACGTGAGTAAGACATCCCTAGAAACCCCAACGAAGACCATCGAGAACGTCTTGATGAATTCTACAAGTGGTGTAATGCTACCTGGCAAATGTGAGTCGACTACTCGGAGCATCACGACGGACGACGCCAAGGAAGGTAAAAACATTGTTGTTGTTGGGGATAGCCAGATTAGGTACATGGATAGGGCATTCTGCTTGAAGGATAGGAGTAGGAGGCAGAGAGTGTGTTTTCCTGGGGCTGGGATGAAGGATATTGTTAGCCGTCTGGATGACATCATGAGAGGTAATGGGAGCAATCCTATTATCTGTCTCAGTGCTGGAGGCAACGATGTTGGCAGACGTAGGAGTGAGGACCTGATTAGCAGGTATAGGTCAGCAATAGAGATAATTAGGAGGAAGGGTGGGAAACCTGTCATATGTGGCATTTTGCCAAGGAGAGGAGTTGGAAATGAATGGTTGTCCAGAGCAATTGGTGTCAATTGCTGGCTGGACAAATACTGTAAGGAAAATGCGGTAACATTCATTGACAACTGGGACCTCTTCTATGGCAGAAATGACATGTATGCCAGGGATGGGGTTCACTTATCTAGGTCTGGGGTGGGAGCACTGGCAACTGCAGTGGAGGGAGCTGTTAGGTCTTTAAACTAGGAATAGTTAGTGGTATGGGTTTTGGCGGGAAAACTGTGAAGTCACAGGGTAGTAACATGAGTACTAGGAGAACTAGTAATAGGCAAAATGAGGTGGATATTGGAAAGCCAGTGGCACTAATTGACAAGGACAGTAATAGGTTTAGTGGAATAACAGAAAGGAGCAGGAAGGGTAAAGAGAGAGGAGGGTCATTAAATATTTATTACACAAATAGTCGCAGTGCTAGGAATAAGATGGACGAGTTGAGACTAGTTGCTAGTGCAGGTAACATAGATGTATTTGCCATAACTGAGACGTGGTTTAATTAAAAAAGTCGGGACATGCCTGTAGAATGTCACATTCAGGGTTTTAAATTGTTCCAAGTAGATAGAAGTGTCGGGAAGGGGGGTGGGGTGGCATTGTATGTCCGAGATCGCTTGAACTGTTGCATAAAAACGGGTATTAAGTCTGAAGTAACACATACAGAGTCTGTTTGGATAGAATTTTCAGAGGGGCATGAAAAATTAATTTTAGGTGTGATATACCGTCCCCCAAATTTAGATAGGGACCAGGGGAGACTACTATGGGAGGAAATTGTTAGGGCCACAAGGCACGATAATGTAGTAATTCTAGGAGACTTTAACTTTAGTCATATTGATTGGAATTTCTTGACTGGGAATTTAGAATCATACGATTTCTTAGAAGTAGTTCAGGATTGTTTTTTGAAGCAGTTTGTGACAGAACCTACAAGGGGTAATAACCTGCTTGACTTAGTTCTGGCAAACAATGAATCCCTTGTTAATAATTTAGAAGTTTCGGAGGAACTGGGTGCTAGCGACCACAAATCAATTACATTTAGAATTGAATGGAAGTATGATAGTAGGGATAACTCAGTAACAGTCCCAGATTTTCGCTTAGCAGATTACGATGGGCTTAGAGAACACTTATCATCTGTTGACTGGGGTAACAAAGAGAGCTATCGATATGACAGTTTTCTGAACACAATACATGCTGCTCAAAGAACGTTTATCCCTTATAAGGTAATTAGATCAAATAGAAATGACCCAAAATGGATGAATAATAGGCTGAAATATCTACTAGGGCATAAGAAAGGAATTTATAGGCGTATCAAAAGAGGCGAGGGTCATCTTATGAATCAGTATATTGACATTAAGAGGGACATTAAAAAGGGGATAAGAAAAGCTAAAAGGTACTATGAAATTAAAGTTGCTAGGGATTCTAAAACTAACCCAAAAAGTTTTTTCCAGGTCTATAGAACAAAAGTCAGAGATAAGATAGGTCCCCTTAAAAATAACTATGGGCAGCTTACTGACAAAGAGAATGAAATGTGCTCGATTTTAAATAATCATTTTCTCTCGGTTTTTACACAGGAAGACACTAATAATATTCCGGTAATTAATTTTTATAGTGGATCAGAAGAAGATAAATTATGTAACATCACAGTCACTAGTGAAATGGTTGTGAAGCAGATAGACCGACTGAAGCAAAATAAGTCACCGGGTCCTGATGAGGTTTTTTCAAGGGTTCTTAAGGAATGCAAAATGGAAGTCTGTGAACCATTAACTAATATTTTTAATTTATCTCTTCAAACAGGTGTAGTGTCTGATATGTGGAAGATGGCTAATGTAATTCCTATTTTTTAAAACAGGGGACAAGTCGCTACCCGTCAAATTACCGCCCAATAAGCCTGACCTCAATTGTAGGCAAATTACTAGAGTCAATTATAGCTGAGATTATAAGAAGCCATCTCGATAAGCATAGCTTGATTAAGGATATCCAGCATGGATTCACAAGAGGCCGGTCTTGTCTAACTAATTTATTAACTTTCTTCAGTAAAGCTTTTGAGGCTGTTGACCACAATAAAGAATTTGATATTATTTACTTAGATTTTAGTAAGGCTTTTGATAGAGTTCCGCACCATAGACTGTTAAAGAAAGTGGCAGCTCATGGCATTGGGGGAAGGGTGCTCTCGTGGATCGAATCATGGCTCACAGACAGGAAGCAGAGAGTGTCCATAAATGGGGTTAAATCCGAGTGGGGATCAGTAACAAGTGGCGTTCCACTGGATCAGTCTTGGGCCCGTTGTTGTTTATAATATATATCAATGATCTTGATGAAGGAATTACTAGTGATATGAGCAAATTCGCCGATGACACGAAGATAGGTAGGATAATTGATTCAAACGTAGATGTTAGGGAACTTCAGGAGGATTTAGACAAACTCTACTCTTGGTCAAAAAAGTGGCAGATGCAGTTCAATGTAGATAAATGCAAGGTTCTGAAGCTCGGGAGTGTCCATAACCCAAAGCACTTATAAGTTAAATAATGTAGAATTTAGCCTACAGTTTTCCCGAAAAGGATTGGGGGTTATGGTAAGCAGCAACCTTAAACCAAGACAGCAATGCCTAAGCGTACGTAATAAGGCAAATAGATTACTGGGTTTGTATCAAGAAGTGTAAGCAACAGAAGTCCAGAGGTCATACTGCAGCTTTATACATCATTAGTAAGGCTCCACCTAGATTATGCAGCTCAATTCTGGTCTCCATATTACGAATGGACATAAATTTCGTTAGAAAACATCAGCGTAGGATGACTAAATTAATACATGCATTAGAAATCTTCCCCTTTTGAAGAAAGATTGAAGACTCTTAATTACATTCACTTGTTAACGAAGAAAGAGGGGAGACTGATCGAAGTGTATAAGTGGAAGATAGGTATTAAAAAAGGGGATATTAACAAGGTCTTGAGGATATCTCTCCAAGAGAGAACCCGCAGTAATGGATTTAAATTAGATAAGTTTAGATTTAGAAAGGACATAGGAAAGTATTGGTTTGGAAATAGGGTAGTTGATGAGTGGAACAGTCTACCTAGTTGGGTTATTGAGGCTAGGACTTTGGGTAGTTTCAAATTTAGGTTGGATAAGTACATGAGTGGGAGGGGTTGGATTTGAGAGGGACTTGCACATCGGAGCTTGTTTCTTGGGTGGCATTGAAAATTGGGTTGGTCAAATGTTTGTTAGTGGGATAAATTGTAAAGGACCTGCCTAGTATGGGCCAACAGGCCTGCTGCAGTGTTCGTCCTTTCTTATGTTCTTATGTTCTTATGTATATAAAATTAAAATTGAAAATCAACCAAAAAAAAAATTCTTTTGAGCTATATACAAAGAAGTGCCAGTAGATTTACATAAATTGATACAAATGTAAACACAGAAGAAAACCACTAATTATGTAATGCATTTCGGTAAATACTTGGAAAAGACCCGGGCCGGGAGAATACCGGCGAATAAAAAAAAAAATAATCACAAGGGTTATTACATACTACTAAAATGTAGACCTTGCCGTAGCAATTAAGATGATCAGTATTCGACACGCAACCCCT